TTTTAAAGACATTGAATTGCAGTAAACATTTTAGCTATCCTTTTGTTACCACAAAATTTAAACTTAATTAATAATTAGCAATAAATATACCGGTTTGTATAGTATTACTGATGAAATTATATATTTAATACAATCACATTAATACTGGTTTAGATTACGTTTACTGTTTTCTTATTGACCATAAATTTACACTATTGTATTGTACTTAAGTAATAACTTATTTGTTTTCTTAACGTTTATTAACGTTTTAAAGATTAGATGGAATTTTGGAAATGATAGGCTTATTATGAATATGTTTACTTAATTTTAGTAATAGTAAACCAAAAAAATATTTTATTGATTATTTTATAAACAAGATCTTTAATTTAATAGTTATATGATATAATAATATATCATAATATATGAATAAAACAACATTTGTTTTATTTTTTGTATATTAACTTAGTTTTGTATACAACTGAAGGCAGGTCTGTATGTCGTATTTCGGGTCAATCTATTGAATATACATATAATGTAGAAATACTATGGGATTTGTATGAAAGAGATGGAAGAGCTGGTGTGGTAATGGATCAGTAATAAAGGATCCAATTTTGCGGACTAAATGAGCCAAAACCATAAATACATAAAACTGTTTGTATGGCTTAGAGAGTGAATGACTTGCTGTCAATTATAATCAATCGCTAACTATGTTTTGCCAACAGATTTTAACATGTTTTTAGATATAAACAATAATTAATAATATATTTATGTTTATATAGTTATATAGTTTTTAGTTTGTAGATATTTGTAATACAAATTTTAAACCTATATATATATTTATTTGAGTTAAAAATATTTGTCAAATGATTTAATGTTTTCTAAAATAAAAATATAAATAAAATATTTATGTTTCAACTAAAAACTGATGGACACTATGATATGTTTTTTTGTCAATTAAGTTCTCAGAATTCTTTATAACTTAATCTGAATTTTTTTCGGTAAATAAAAAACAAACTTAAATATTGTAAATAAAAAATGACATCATTTTTCATAATACATATATAATAATCGCTTGAATTCATAATGAGTGAAGCGGTAATCATTAATGGATACAATTAGTTGTTGTAAACCTGACCGATGTTTGGCTAACAAAATATATATTTCCCGGTATTTATGTAACACATATGCTGTTCTCATGTATTGCTTGTGTTTTATTGAAAACAACTTTTTTACAGATTTTTCAAATCTTAAAAATTATTAAATTGTCGTTAATTTCAAAAAAATACATTTCATTGAATATTTATGTAATTATTTTTATAATTTGTTAGATACATTTTATCGTTTAATTTAACAGTAAATTATTTTTTTAGTTGAATATATTGTATTGCGATTTTCTTTGTAATTATTAATCTTACTAATCATTTAAGTCAAAGAGTATAAAAACTATTTAATTTTATTTATATCTCTTATCGTAAAATTGCGGTAAAACATAAAACCTATTGATATATTGATAATATATATATATATAATATAATAAATCCTGTGTCTAATTAACAAAATAGCGGCAAAATATATAATCTCTGTTAAAGTAATCAAAGTTATTTAACATAACTGTGTCAGTCATAGTGTTTGTATAGTAAACACAGTATCAAAAATATTGTTATAACAATTTTACAACAAAAATCTTCTAATATGTACTTTTAATAAACGCTTAATGAAAACATATTTTAATCCAATATTAAGTATATAACTCAATCCTTATTGTTTGGAGAGAAAACAATGAGTATTTAGTATTTCTACTAAACAAACAATAAGACTGATTACATGATTATAAATGTAATCTCTCTCTCTCTCTCTCTCTCTCTCTCTCTCTCTCTCTCTCTCTCTCTCTCTCTCTTTATTTATTTATTTATTTATCTGATTTAAATCGTAACTCATTTTAAGTTTAATTTTTGTTGTCTCCGATATTGATTTTACAAATGTTATAAGTTTTAATAGATTTGTAAGTTGTAATGTTATGTACTGAATGTTTAGTACAAATATTTAGTCACAATTTGTATCAGTGGATAATTATAACATTAAATCTAGCTTTCATTTCAAAATTTTAGTTAAATAGTTATCAGTTGTTTTAATACATAAAAATATACAAATAATAAAAATTTGTGTAAATTATAACATTTATGAGCGTATGGTTTGTATTTGTGTGTCGACATAACGGCAATGTATGCCAAATGAGGTTTTGCCAAACATTTAATCCAACGTCAACTCACATTCAGATACTTTTTATATTAAATTGCATTTTAAAAATCAAAACTTAATACAAATATAACTCATATAATCTCTTTGTATTAAATATTGAATAAAAATTTTTATTTTTAAACTAAAACAGTACATAGTATAGATATAAATAATTAAATAACTATACAAATAATTTATAATACAGTATATTAATTTGTATAAACTTTATTTTATAGACATTAATACAGTATATTAGATGTTTAATAAGATAAAATTTTTAGAAATTGTATTTTATAAAAATTATTTATATTACCTCATTTTATAGACTGTTTATAAAGTATATAGTTTTTTATAAGTGTTTCAAAAATAAATCTCTGAAAAATATAGAGAAATATTAAATAATAAAGACATTATAAAAATAAACATTTGACAAACAAAAACAAATTATTTTTAAGCGTAATCTTTAGCACTCAGTGTATGAAATTGATTAATGTATACAAAAATATTTGACTTATAGTTACATTAATTAATTAAACACAAATAAATAGCAACAAACTTTTGCAACAAAACTCAGATAAAAATAACAAATATGAAAAATAAATTTCAACTTCAAAAAATATTTCAAAATAGTTATAAGTATTTTTTGTTTAAATAAATAGTTGATTGAGATCAAAATGTATACTATGTTTTGAGTATATATGTAATATTACAGATCAAAATGTTACTATAAAATTTAAATTACGATTGGACTAATTTTTAGTGAGTAAATGAAAAAATTATATTGTAATTGTATTGTTTGATTTTAAATTAATAAATATCAATGTCATAAAATACAAAATACAATGTGTCAAAAAATAATATATTAAACACAATATATAAAAATATAAATAGATTATACTCTATTTAAACAGTAGTAACAATTGTGATTATCAATATACAGTAGATATAGGATAACTAATAACTACAGTGGAGTCAGAAACCAATTTTACTTCAAAGCGTTTAATGTATATAAATAAATACTCGAATTTCAATAATATATTTATCTTATTTTGAACAACAAATATTAAATAATACATTTAAGTATAATATTACATAATATTAATTTTATATGAAAATAGCTAAAACATACATAAAGTTAATTACAGTATTTAAACAAATACATGTATGAATATATTGCTTAAGAAATAATGAGTAAATATCGTGTCATTTATTTTTGTTGTATTTTATTAATACTGTACATTGCATTCAACTCTATTAAATTACAGCAGAAATGTTTGTCATATCATTTATATTATTTGTATATACAGTAAAAGGTATGTCTTTTCAATAGCTATATAATTAAAGCTTGAATTTGTTTGAATACTGTTAGGGAGTCATCAGTAAATTTGATGAAAACAAAATCATTGCAAATGTAATTATCGTTAAACTGTTTCAAATGAATTTCTGCTTTAATTAACATATTATAAATTAATTAAATCTTTGTTTAATAAGTTACTTATGCAACATAACTATAATTACTATATTTACACTTATTATTTGTTATAAAAGTAACAAAAATAATATACTAAATACTAAAAAATAATGTATTAAAACGCATTAACACTTTTATAGTTATAAAATTGCATAAACTGTCATTTATTTATCTTTCAGACAATAGATATCTTATTGTATTTTATGAGAAACTATTTGTTTCTCATAGTTTTTTATTAAAATTATTTTCTCATTTTTATATAAATGTGATTTTATCAATAATATGTCAATTTATTATAATCATATTTATTTAAAGATTATATTTATATATTCTGTATTTATAAATTCAATTATATAAGATAGGATATTGCAAAAAAAAACTTTATATAATTTATTGTTAATATTATTATTATATTACAGATAATTGTTATCAATATTATTATTATTATAGTAATTTATAAATATAGTATTATTTATAAAATTACAAATTTATGTCATTAATTAAATTTATTGTATTTTGTTAATTATTAAAATTTAATTGCTTAGATAAATACTAGATATATAGTTTTTATTAACTCTTTATATAATAGTGTGTATAACTTAAGATGAAATTTTAATCAAATTAATACATATCTAATAATAAGTTAAATTTAATAAAAATAATAAGTTAAAAATACAAAATTGCTAAATAAATGTTTTATAAAACAAATCAATACAAATAATTTTATCACCTATTGATATATTATAATTGTTTTATTTTAATATAATTACAAATTTAATACTTTGCATTAAAGTTTATAATTTTAATTTATTAATAATAATTAATTGTATAATGGTTTAAATTATTTATATAATGAAATGAAATTTATGTTTTATATCTTATACCGTAGTATCATATAAATATATATATATAATTTTTTGTAGTATAGCTTACAATTAAACACTATATAAGTGGCAATTTTAACTCATATTTTTGTAATTTAAAGCAAAGTGTTTAACACATAGACTAACTCAATAATGTAATAATTGTGCCCAACTTTTATAGTATTTATTTACTATGTTTTATTCTTACCATTTTATATAAACTGCATGAATGTATTGATTAAAATGAATAAATTTTTAGATTATATACATTACATAAATATTAATTAAGAATTAAATATATAATCAAAACTATATATAATATATATATAAAGATTTATAAAAAATTAATTACAATATTTACTTTTATTTTATATATTTATTCACATATTGTAGTAATGATTGACCATTTGATTAGTTATTAATATTTAAAAAGTTTTAAATTTGAAAACTCATCGCCAATTAGAGGAAAGAACTTTTTGTTCAAAGTTGAGATGATTTGCAACACTTATATTGTTATTAACTGATGCCTGAAGAAGTAGTAGATGTCTATACTTTTCCATATCAAGCGATGAATTCATGTCATTAATGTTACCATTGTTTGGTATCAGAGGAATATCATTGCGACCAAACATTAGAGACATATCTCCATTATTTCCAACCAATGAAGAAGAATTGATCGGTAGTCTAGAAAATTGAGTCAGTATTGTATTATGAATCGGAAGCACTGGTGGCCTAATCATTGTATCGGAGCACTGATTAGGTCGTGGCGTAAATTGAGGACAACTTATCATATTTGATGAATAGTTTGTTGACTTGTTTTTAATTTCATTTAATGATAGCTTATTAGCGCCGATAAGACTATCAATTGAAAAATTAGATTTCGATTTGGTTGGTGTCGTCACTAATGATGGCGAAGATGTATGCATTATATTTGATTGTGTCATCGGTGGTGATGGCGTAACATTTGGAGTCTCAATCATTTGTCCCATCAAATGATTTGTCATCTCTTGAGATTGGTTAATATGACTACTTGTCGGCCCAATTGTGAGGTTAATGGGTTGAAGCGGAGGTCGAGTTGCAAACTCATGAGGTGATAATAATGGTATTGATGGTGGCAATGGTGCAAGAAAAGGATAACCACCCATAAGTGCCGGATGATTAATAAAACTATTGGTTCGGTAGGGATCCATACCCGGCAAACAAAAGCCATCTCTCATAAACTCATTTTGATGTCGTTTGTATCGCTTTCTTCTTCTTAGAAACGATCCGTTATCAAACATGTCTTCAGATGCCGGATCCAGTGTCCAATAGTTGCCTTTACCGGGATTTCCCGGTTCGCGAGGAATTTTGATAAAGCAATCATTAAGTGACAGATTGTGTCGTATGCTGTTTTGCCACATCGGGTACTTCTCCCGATAAAATGGGAACCGACTCTTAATGAAATCACAAATACCACTAAGAGTTAGTTTCTTTTCAGGTGATTGAAGAATAGCCATTGTTATGAGCGCTATATAAGAATAGGCGGGTTTGACGACATGAGACTTCTTTGTGCCCGACGTTGCAGTTGTTGATCCCGCGTCTGATTCATTCATCTCTGATTTGTCTTTAGATTTATCATCAAAACTGTTATATTCTTTATCGTCAAACTCGTCGGTAATGTCAATATCAAGTTGTTCTTCGTCTTCATTTGAGTCGACGGACACCTCATTGTCGTTGTCAGCCATTAGAGTCATATCTCTGTGACCGGTCTGTCGAAACATTTCAAGAGATTGATTATAAGTGACCATATTTGTGATGACCATTAAAAAGTTGTTTTACTATTTGGCTTTTACACAAACTTTTTTAAAAGTCACCAAATTTTTGTCAGATAAGTGCAAAACTAAACAATTAGTTAACTTATACTAAAGTGTTTGTCACACATCAAGAATATATGGCATATATATTACTAAACACATACTACAATGTACTGTATATACTCTATATCAGTATATTTAAGTTATAAATACACACATTTGTAATACTGTTACAGAAGCCAAGCACTGGTAATAACAGTTTAGTTTAAGCTTTGGAGAGCCCACCCACTTGATGAACACCACCTCTTTAAAGATGGGAATCACCAATCAATTTATAGATGAGGACTGACATCCAGACAATGGTGTGGGTATGCGTTTCAGTATATATTTTCATTATTTTTGGCCTCATATTAAACGCTTGAATAAAAAGTAATGTTTATTATAACAATGATTACAATCATTAGAATCACAAATAAGAGAAAAATATGTGTAATTATAGCACTTTTGAATAAAATTTGATACTTTATTGTACATTGTTTTTGCTTGTCATCAAAGATGCCGTCTTTTGCTTAAATAAAGATATTAAATGGACAGTTGTGTGTCCATTAGGTGTGGACCACTACTACAATACTATATATAATGACCACTATTGGGATTCATTAGTTGTTGAATTACTGTATTTGCTAAACCCTTTCCCTAACAATTGTTATGAATTCTTAACACAAATCAATCTTTTGTATTGAAATATCAATAAATACGTTATGCGTGTTATGCCTTAAATGCCTGGATTACTACCAATACAGACCATTATATAAAGACCTCCCCATTGTTATCGACTCAATGAATACTATCAATGACCACACCGACTATGGGCACAGTCACCACAGATCCAGACATCACAAACATATTCATCATATAAATAATTTTACTTTTTTTAATTCATATTTATTTGTTCAAATGTTCAATCATTTTGCCAATTGCTTATGTCCATTCATTTTCATATAAAAATAATTTTTATTATATACATATTCTATAATCAATTATATATATAATTTTGAATTTTTTTTATAATATTATATTATTTAAAAATCAATTTTGAAGCAATCGATGCCTATTATAGATATCGATAAAGATAACGGTGTAGATAATTGAAATGCATTAGAGGAACAATTCAACATTAATGGAGACAATTATTTTAGTAAATTTATGTCACATAAAACATGTTTGAATGAGAATTGTTAGCATTTTTATTTGGTTTCAATAAAAAGTATTAGTCGTTTGAAGTAAAACTTTTGATTGTATGGCAAAAGCAATGATAGGAGAGATGTGTGTATTTGAGTGAATGGATGAGTATATATATCATGAATGTGTGTGTGTGTGTGTGTGTGTCTGTGAGTGTGTGTGTGTATGTGTGTCACATAATGTTGTTCTCATGTCTGTCACTCTACTTATACAATAAAATTTAGTAGCATTTAGTATAAAAGCTATATCTACTACTAATATATAGATATCCATAAATCTACAATATATAAGTACAGTATTTGTATGCTTTTATATACACTACTCAATAACTACAAAGCCATCTCTCTCTCTCTCTCTCTCTCTCTCTCTCTCTCTCTCTCTCTCTCTCTCTATACAGTAGATTGTGTGAACTATTTATTTGATTGTCAGTTTTGACTGAATAATGTACTTAAATAACTAATGATATTATATTGTAAATAATGTTTACAACTTTCAAAATATCTTTATATCTATCCAATCAATGATCTGACATTCAAGTCTTGACGATAACTTTACACAAATTTTGTATATAATTTTGTATATAACTGATAATTATCATTAAATAATTGACTATATTGTATATTTAACTTATTTCTTGCTTTTCTAATAATTAAAAATATCTTTATTATAGTTTGTATATAATATAATAATATACTATAATACCAAATTGAATATTAAAACATTAAAAAATAAAGACCTGACAAATCAAGTGGTATTTGGCAACTCTATGACACAATTGATTAAATCTATATTACTTCAACTAGTTTTCAAGTTAGTCTCAAAGCTTTTCACAATACAACAATGAATAATATTAAAAACATTTAATAAAACAAAATTATAATACTGTATTATACTGTATATAAATATTGTATATTTAATTTGGATGATTGGATTAGTCATCACTTAATTAAATTAACAATATATTGACAAAAAGCTAATAAAAATTTATATAAAATTGTGTTAAATTTGATACTTTTGACTGTAGAAAGTGAACTTTGAATAATAATTTTTAAAATATTTAAAATATTATACTTTTAAAGCATTGAATGATATTGTATGGTATGAATTGGTATGGTATGTGTGAATGTAGTATTGAATTGTGAATATTATTACAACAATTGTATAAATTGTATATAAATATATTTATTGAGATATCTGGCCCTCAATTCTGGTAACACGTCCTCAAACATGAATAGCATTGCAGGTGTAGTGAAGTGTTGTCTATGAATGGCTGTCAACTAATTTCAATGGTCTCCACAGCAACTCCTCGTCAGCGATGGTCTTCATTGCCGCCGGAATGCAATCATTGACTGAATACCAAAATTAATGTCATTTGACTTGACATCAAAACAAGTGTGTATATCCTCTAAGCTTTACATTATTAGTACTTTCAAACAGCTTATAAACCAACATTACTTTTATTTATATATATATATACTAAATATAAATATAACTCATTATTAACCATTGATGCAAATCTATTACATAGGATATAATGTATAGTTAATATTGATAATAGAAAAACATATATGAATTTGTGGTTATTTGACTAAATATTGAAAATCTGACATTTATTTGTCATTTAATTGGCGAGAATCACTATTATTATATAAACAGTTTATTGATTAAATGCAGTTCAAAATCAATTAAAAAATTTATCTAATGTCTGATACGGTCTAATGAATACTATTTATACAAAGTTTAATATATATATATATTATCATAAACTAAGAAACATCTTTTATTTAGTCTTATTTTTAATCACATATAAATATTTATATAATCTTAATAATAAATTGTGTTATACAGATATATACAGCTTTAAAATAATATAAATTAATTTTCAATTTTAATAATTTGAACAAAATTAACCCATTATTAAATATTTAAAGCACATATACTATATAAGCAATAAATATGGTGTATGTGTGTCGTATAAAATTGATAAAATGTATGTCAATAATGTGAATAATGTAGCCTAGAGTCAAGTAAAAGTTATTTCTAGTGACAGTTTCAATATATATTTTATTAAATGGTGTAATAAATGGTTGAAAAGTATATATTGTCTTAGAGAGAGATTGAGAGTTTGATAACATCTTTGTTGAGCAAAACATTGTATATATAGCCTAAAACAGCTGAGATTGCCTCCAATGTTAAGCAGTTTTATGTTTGCTCTCATATTCATCAATATTTGTTTTATCCGTTCAAATGTGTTGATTAAAAAATTAAATGATGAAAAAAGTGGCGGAAAGCCATTTATTAGTTCCTATATTATGTAACTAACATTATATGTATTTGCCATTTGCACTACAATTCATACAATTTCATTGTTGTTTATACTTTCACTTTAGCCTTTAAGGCATTCACACACATATTATATATAACTAAAAGATTATAGACTTTTAGACGAAATTAATTTTGATAAAATGCGATTTGACAAAATCCAAAATAATCAATAATTTTAGCAAATAATATTATTTCTATAAAAAAAATTGTTTTATTTTTATTTATATAAATCTATTGTTTAATTATTATAAATAAAATTTAGCACTAATAATACATGTAATTTAATAAAACACTTAAAATAAATAGTCTACACTTTAATTAATAGCACATTAGAATAAATAAAAAGCATTTACCAAATTATTTTCGTCCAAATGTAATAATACTTTTTTCCTTAACTAAATATAGCACATAATATATAAATTCTGTATATATATATATATTCTGATATATAGTATACTATATATTGTATATACAGTATATTATTTGGTAACAGATTATTACTTAATAAAAATTGTTATATTTACAAATAAAACTAGATTGAAAATATCAAGTGAAGCAAATATTGATAAAAACTTTTTTTTGACAAAATATAATATTTATTGAAGTAATTAAAATGGGAATATAATGTATATATAAAATGAGTGAAAACATTGTTTCCTAAATTTTCTCATAAAATCTTTTGTTATTATATGTCTTAAGCTAAGATTATTTAAAAGATTGAGATTTAGACCCAAACGGTTGAGTGGGTGAGCGGGTGATTGTTTGACAAACGAGTAAATAAGTGGTAATAAGAGAGTGGCTAATCGGCTATTGTGTTATTAAACATTTGTCACACTAAATAACTACCGGTGAAGTCGTTCAAGTGATAACTTAATATACTGTTAAATATTAGTCTATAGTATATGTGTACCAAAAAAAGCCAGTCCTTTGGTCCTCCAAAAAGTATATACAGTTTATTGATATGTATGTACAGTATGTTGTGATACTATTATTACACATTTAGAGACATACAATAAACTATTTATAAAATGTTGAGAGACTGCCATCAACTTCTGTAATATTCAACTACTCTTAAAGTTTTTATGAAACTTTATTTGAAGTGTCAGTTCCTCAATAAAAATGTATCCATACATTCATTTGAGTACTGGATTAATGTAATAATAGCACAGCACTCGTATTATATCTTCCAATAGGAACAGTAGGGACAGGTGGCCATAAGTGAGCTAAAAGTATAGCATTCCCGCTGATTGCATGGAGTGGTACTTTATCTACAAGTGCTCGGGGATTGGACTATACAGTATATATGTATATATGACTCGGACTTATTTTCATAATTTACTTTTATTTGATATTTTTGTATAAATTTTGTATCAATACTCAAATATTTTTTATTTCTTAGTATTTTTACACATAACAATAATATTTAATTCAATGCTCTAAATATCTCAAGTGATGTATGAAAATAAATTTATCAAAAGATCAAAATATAATATATGTTTAATAAGCCTATAGATTAACGTATTTGCAAGTGATTTGAAATAACAGGATA